CTCTCTCTCTCTCTCTCTCTCTCTCTCTCTCTCTCTCTCTCTCTGAGTCGCGAAAACGCAAGACTCGGAATAGAAGGATGACAGAAGAATAGGAAAGAGAAGAGTTCTTGATAACTTCGAAATTATAACTCCCAATGCAACATACGGGGGTGATAAGGATGACGAACATTTCAGCGGAGTGATATATTTTCGCGAAGCGCTTATTTCTGCAGTCCCCGGTGTGTACTATATACGCGCGACTATTTATGGCAAAAACACGATCGCGTCGCGTGATGAGTCGCAATTAGAAGGCCACGCGTCAGACTCGGCGTACTCACGTTACGACTCGGCCTGGGACCCTCCGAGCGCATCAGCTGTCCCGGACGACGTCACGAGGACTGCGAGGATTCAGCTGCCGCGAGTTTTACGCGCCTCCGCGCCGCGCGATAAAAGCGGATAAGAACCACTCGCATAAACGCACACTCAGACAGCACGACATACACCGATGTGTACACATACGTAGGTGTGGGCGAGTGCGCGCCGGGGGCGGCATGTGGGGCACGTGGTGGCGCGAACGCGCCACCGCCGTTAAATATTATTCCACGTCGGGCCGATGAATTATTGAGCGAGCAGAGAAGAATAACAGGCCGGAGACAACCGGTCGAAGTGGATGCGCTCGCAGATAGCTCCGCGATTGCATTGCACCGTGCACCCCGCGTTCGCACTCAGGCCGAGCTGATTTTATTATGCGCGTGCTTGACCTACCCTCATGAGGAATATTTCTTCCGCGCCGTTACTCGCGCCGTCTCCGTGGAACTTGTAAAAGCGACGCATATAAAATATGTATATTTCTGTATAGACACGATGTGTAGCGAAGGAAATGACGGATTTTTATGTCAGATGTTATTTTTGTGTCAGGAGGTTGTGGAAGTTCGTTGAATTTTCAGCCATATTTTTTTACTGCAGAATGTCGGCCTATTTCTCTATTAGAAAATTCTATATTAATTTTTCTCTTCGTGTAATAATTGATCTCTCAAACTAATGAAATTATCGGCTATGCGACGGATTTACGCAAGCTCCCAGTGTACATTCAATATATACTTATATTATTTTTAATTATGCTCATTTTATTTTGTGTATATATATATATATATATATATATATAGGATTTATATATATATATATATATATATATATTTAGGACAAATAATATTTTTATGTATTGATATTTATGACACGATACTATTTTACAGCATATTAAATGTAAAAATATCGATAGCGATAAATAATTTTTAATCACCAAATAATTTTGCTGAGCTGCGCTCGGATTTAATGATACAAAATGGTCGACGCATATAACAATATATCTCACTATGGTCGGAGTATAATGAAATACTAATTGAGTTATAGTGTTCAAGTTATGGCACGCAGTTGAAATAATAATCATACGATAGTATTCACTGTCGGCAGTGAGAGGACACCCGGGGAACGACGAATGTGCGCAACCGAGCGCGAGAATAAATAGCGCTATATTAAATGAAAATCTAAGGGTGCGAAACTATTTCGTCCGGATGACGCCCCTGAGAAATGTAATTTAAGCGATATTCTCGTCGTCGAGCACTCGAAACAATGGTGGGAACGAAACGTATTCTCATATTTTCCCGTCGGGAGAAAGAGAGAAGGAGAATGACGAGACCACATGCCGGCCTCCTAAATGACGCAAACCGCGCGAATAATTTCGAAGCGCACATTTGCCACTCGTCCATCCGTCGTAATGCGCTGTCCATTCAATGTTCGTGCAAAAATCATAGATATTCATCTGGTATTTAGATCCAGAAATTGTCTTAATATTTGAAATATTCATTTAAGTCTCGTTGTTGGTAGTGCTTGGATAACGAAATCAACAATTAGCGGCCTTCATGAACGACGCGAGATAAAAGTAGACAGAGAGAGCTGCGATGAATTTTTACTAATAGTTTATGAATTCGTTTTTATTTTAACAACTGAAAGTGCATTTTAAGAGGAAGAAGCACAAATGCGTTGGATGACGCTACTTGATTATTAATATGGAATTAATAATCAAGAAGACGACGTGCCGTGCGGAGATGCTGAACGATGAGTTCATTCTCTTTCTCGAGACAGCTTCTGCGATACTTTTACCTCTCGTCGGATCCTTGTTTTTGCAAGAAGGATTAGTCGAGAGAAAGGGAAGGATGTTGATGACCGGAACACGCAGCGTGAAAAAGAGCACTTTTAAGGACAATGCCGTGGTCGCTGGAGACAGCCGCCGCCGCTGCCGTCGCCGTCGCCGTCGTGACGTCGGTCGCTGCTTCCATCCCACGCATAATTAGGCGACGAGAGCGACGAGGTACGCAGCTACATGGCTAAATTATCTTCCAGACATAGGCGACATTATTAAGAGTTAGACGCGCGACGAACGCGCAAGTGCGTGCGTGCGTGCGTGTCGGTGAACTCGAGGTGGCGCGATAAAAATATATTCACGCTCGTCACAGCTTTTGCATCACGCTCTCTCTTCGGCTGAAGCTCGAGAAAATAAAGAAAGAATATGAAGAAAAAGTAAAGAGAAAAAATGCTATAGGATATTTTCTGAAATTTCAATAAATACTCTTTAATATCATAACGTTTGCTTTAATCATTTTTTGTATATCGTAAAATTTATTTTAGAAATTAAGTTTTAATAAATTCTCCGATAATCAAGTGTCAATTCTAGGCGAGAAAAACAAGTGAATAAAGTAAAGAAATTCTAAGATATTTCCTGAAACCTCAGAAAATATTTCTTTTGTATACCATAAAATTTATTTTAATATATATAACTCTTTCTATAGTATTATAAAACTTTATTTCTCAGACATTAAATTTTAATAAAACCTCAAATTATAAACGTCAACTCTAGACGAAAGGAGCAAGTGAGTAAAAATGTTAAGAAATATATTTTCCGAAACCTTAGAAAATATCCTTCTGTGTGTACCACCGAATTTATTAGCGTCTCTTAGTGTTTGTCTATTTAATATCGACTTCGTGCGCATGCAATTATCAGTTTGGTGAGGCAGATTAAATAAGACAACAGATTAAGGTGAGGAGATTTTCTATGTTCCACATTGTTTAAGCGCGCCCCAAGATAAACGTTTGCATGCCAAAGTTACCCTTCGTCTCGACAGCTAATTAATTATTCCGGTCGACGCGAGAGCGATTAAATCCGCCGAATCCAGATAATGAAGTGGCGCGACTTTCGCCTGGAAACTCGCTCCAGAATAATTCCGGGCTTCCTCCCTCACGCTCTGGCCTCTTTAAACTCGTTTTCCGCCTATTTCGTCTCTCTCTGCCATTATTCGCGAGTCTCAGGGCGTTCTCCCGCAGATCTTAATAAGCGGCTCAGAAATAACACGGTTTCGCGGTGCCTCGCGCGCGGCTGCAACTTACATTTTACAACGTGCCCGCTCGGACGTGATGTATCTCTCGTTTAAATCGAGACGCTGAATTAACCGAGCGTAATCTGCCACCGCGGAAGAGAAACGTACGAGGCGTCACATCGCTGCGAGGATTTTCCGCCAGGTAAATCCGGCTGTCCGAACGTTTGGGCCTCGAATTTAATTCATCGGAATAAAAAGAGAGATAATCCTTTCATTTTTCTATTCTCACAAAGTCGCGTTTCGCTACTAGGGAGTTTTTATTTATCACACCCGACAGAATTTGCAGCGACGGGAAAAAAAGACAGAGAGAAAGAGGAAGGGAGAGAGAGAGAGAGAGCACGGTCGAAGTGTCGACGTTTTCCCATGTCGACGCGTATGAACAATCTTCTCGCGTGTTAACAAACGCGAATCGTCCAGTGCGTCCCGTTCCGTTCAACCAAACCCTTACCTTTCAAACAACGTCCAGCCCGTCCGTCAATTGCAAACCGCGACCCGGAGGAAAATCCATTACAACGTCTCCGAATCCGGCGAATCGAAGCGCGCAACGGTCAAAGAAGCACTCGAGATGTCGCAGGAACCGCACGCCGACCGCGACCCGGTCATGAAAGCGATCAAGGACAGGCTCCTCAGATGGACCTGCGAGCGACACGCCACCGACTGTCCCCTCGACAGACATCTACTACGTGACAAAGCCTTGGAATTGGCCGGCGAGCATGAACTGACCGGCACGTATCTACGAAATCCTCGTGTGTCCTCGAAGGGTTACGACGCAGAATAACCCGTCTCAGGGGTTAATACGAACGCCCAGTAAGAAGGTCGGCCTGTCCTCGTCCTCCCCGCGAGGAGATGGTCGACTCGAGGGATAACAGGCTCGCGATAGCGCCGTGGAACGGTCCCGCGGACATTCCAGGACGACGTTTTTTGCGATCCAGGGCACTTCATGTCAACCCCTTGTACAGATCCGCGAGATAATTTGCCGGTCTTGTCTCCAAGTTCCGTCGACTTTGAGGAATGATCGGATCTGAGAATAATCGACGTTTGAAGCTCGAGAATTTGAAGCATCCTGCGAATAGGAAAATTATGTCATAAGCGTCCTAAATACTTATATATCAACTAACTTGTTTATTAATATTAGATTGATTAGAAAATCTCCTCTCATAAATACTAAGCAAGTTCTAATACAAAGAAAGTAGTTTTCAAATAGAGAGATTATCAAAAAATGAAATATGTATTTTTTGGCAAAAGACTTATACCTTCAAAAGAAAAAGACTTTATGGGATGTGATAATTTTAGTCGATGCTAATTAATATTAGGTTGATTCAAAAGTTTTCTCCTATAAACACTGAACAAAATTTGATACGAGCAAAGTAGTTAAATAAAAATTTACTAATGAATGAAATATATGTATTATTCTAATACAAAGAAAGTAGTTTTCAAATAGAGAGATTATCAAAAAATGAAATATGTATTTTTTGGCAAAAGACTTATGCCTTCAAAAGAAAAGACTTTATGGAATGTGATAATTTTAGTCGATGCTAATTAATATTAGGTTGATTCAAAAGTTTTCTCCCATAAACACTGAACAAAATTTGATACGAGCAAAGTAGTTAAATAAAAATTTACTAATAAATGAAATATACATTTTATGAGCGGAAAAAACATTTGCTTGGATTAATAAAATTTCTGAACCAGAAATCTTTTTAACTTGAACAGAACTGTGTAGTAACTTCAACCGCAAATTCGGATTTGTTTATATTTCACGAAAAATTTGGTTAAACGACCAACTTCTTTCCGCGTGGAGACAGATTTATACACTCAAAGAGAAAAAATTATGATAATTTCAACCTGATATTAATATTATATTAATAATCTCACGCTCCGCGGTTCTGGCCAGGCTTCAAATGTTCCGACAGATGGCTAACGTGTTTCCTGAAGAGACACGGCTTCTCCCTCGACCCGAACGACTCGTCCGGACCGGTCTTCCGCAACTATCGATTATGGATCGACGCGATGCGGTCCGTCATCACGCAGTACAAACACAAGGACTTCTTCCATTTGGACGAATTAACTATGTACTCCGACGTCTCGCCCGCCGGCGTCTCCTCGGCGATGTTTCATTCAGCGCGCCAAGACGCTTCTCTGAAGAAAACGACAGTGCTGATGTGCTGCAACGCCGCCGGCACCGAGAAGTCACCGCTCTTGATCTGCGGCACTTACCCAGCCGTGCTAAAAGGCGAGGATTACGTGTACACTCACAATGAAGATGCCTCGATAAGCGACGAGCTCTTTAGGGAGTGGCTGAGCCGATTGAACGATCGTATGTCGTGCGGCGAGCGGAAGATCCTGCTGCTGTTGCATAGGGATCGAGTGAGCGCCTTCCAAGAATTCGAGCTGAGCAACATTCGGCATATCTTCTTCCCCGAGAACTTCCCGCCACTGCTGAGGCCCTTAAAGAGGGACGTCTTCCACTTTGTGAAGATGATCTACCGGAGCAAGTACGTTCACGCAAATGTTTGCTTGATTGTCTGACGTTACGATATTCACAGCTAGTTGCTCAATCTGGCTTGGCTAATGCCTTCGTGAATTTTTTTTCCCTTGAAAAAATTTTCAAATCGTCATTTTGAAAATTTTTCCAAGGGAAAACAAATTTATAAAGGACGCGGCACCAATCAAGAAAGCTAGATCAAACATTTTCCTACAACATGGAAGTCTACGATATCAGTTCGTAGTCAGATCTTAATTTGAGTCGCAAAGTCCTAAGTTAATCTTATGATACTTTACATTTGATTAGCTACGAAACGTTTGAAAATGAATTTAGGACTTTAGAACTCGAATTTAAGGCCAGACTATGAATAGCCAATCATGGTCGGCTCAAGGGTAATCAGCTCACCTCGCGATAGCATCGTGAAACGGTGCTGTGCACGTTCCAGAACAGTGCTTTTGCGCTCCAGGGTGCCTTACGTTAATTCGCAAAGAGCCACTTGCGGAGGATTCATACGTTTCCTCTCGATGAGGAAACCGTCGGTGCTTCCGACGACTTAATTATCCCAATGACTGCAAGAAATTATCGGAGATATTCGCCGTAGGTATGTGGAAGGAATCAAGGAACGTGGGCGCCGGTGGAACGTCGAGAACGTAGTGGAAAGCTTGTTGGAAGCTTGGCGGAAAGTTCCGCGCGCGCTTATTATCGCCAGTTTCCAGCGAACGAGCTTCAGAACCGACGACTGCTTCCTGGAGATTGATTGTGACGCGTGGCAAGAACTAGAGGCTGGGATTTCTTTCGAGAGGTTCGTCACGTTCGATGACGATCTTTCGACGCCGCGAAAACAGCGCCGATCTTCCGGTCACAATTACAACCTGAGGACCAGAGAAGAGATCATTCTGGTGGACGATAAGTTCGGTCCCAGAAGGGAGCTTCCAGCCGAAAGAATCTTCGACGAGTCGCAAGCGGACGGAGACTCAAAGAGAATTCATGGAAAGGTGGACATTGATCGGAAGAAGAAGAAGAAAAAGAATTCGTTGAAGAGATCTCACGAGGAAGTTCAACTGGACGAAGACCTTCTCGTAGAGACGATCAACATGACGTCGACTGATAATTCAATTGCTGACTCTGCTCAGGAGTCGAGGCGTCACGAAGAAGTCGTCGCTGCTTCGCCACCGGCGAAGCGCCCGAAGATAATCAGCATTGAAACCTTCTATGTGGCGAAGGAACAGCGAACGGATGCAAGCACTCAAAGCACTGCCGAATCCGAAGAAATCAACCCGACTACATCGAGAACAAACGCGGATCACATTGTCCAGGCAATCGATGACACGATTAACTACCAGGAAGAGGGAAATGGAAACAGCGAAGCTTCGAGCAGTGGTGAGCAGCGATCGATGGAGTCCTCACGGCGAATCGATGTCTCGAACGCGGGCGATTTCGCGTCGCAACAAGTGTGCGACGATATTCCCGCCACTGATTCGGAGAATCCGAACACGTCGATGGTTTCCGGAGTTATCCCGGGAAAGGAGGCCAAGTCGAGCGATGCGACGCCGGCGATGGACGGAAACGACCGCCATTCTTCGCGGCAATCCCCGAAGAGAAAGCGATCGCGTTTCGTCGACGTCGAAAAGCCGCTGGATTATCCGGACGACGGCGAGCCGGAGCGGAAAAAGTCGAGGTCCGATTGCGATTGGGCGAAGCGATACGAGACGACGTTCGTCTTCGGCTCGTCTGAACTCGCGCCTGGCAACGAAGACGCGCAGCAGCCGAGACCGAGACGACTATGCGAGGCGCAGAAGAGTATCTTCACCATAAGGCCCAGGAAGGATTAGAAACGACTCCGGTGAGTGAACGCTCTTCTCATATCACGATGATGGAAGATAAATGGAGTAGATAAGTAGAAGAGTGTGAAGGTGAGTAACGCATCGTTCTTTTCAATTTAGCAGCCAGAGGTATGGAAGCCGGAAATCTAACGAAAGTGTGTGTGTCTGACGGAAGATTCAACTTGCGGAAGAAGCACAAAGCTGACAGTGCAGTGAACGTTCTCGAGCGCCATGTGTGATAAATAAGTTCCCAAAGTGACACGGAGCTGCATTGACGTGCAACACAGTCGTGCTAAATCTTTCATTTTAATACCCCTCTCTCCTCCGCTTATCGATCAACGCACTCATGTAAACGATTTACGAATTACGATCGGTAACGGGGCAATTGTTGTTAATTGTTTATTTATTTATTCTTCCGTGCTTTGCGATTGGATGTGGCTTCCGATTTACACATTCGTACATTTATATATTCATGTGTTTTCTAACTTTCATTCATTAAATTTAATCGACTCAAAACCACTTATACTAATCACAATTTAAATTGTCTGATCTAAATCTGACTTCAACTTAATTTACATTTTGCATCTCGCACTTCAAAATGTTCCAGAATATTCCTCCTCTTCTCTATTATCTTTTAGCTTTAATTATAACTATAAGAAGCTATAAATTATAAAAGATTATAAATTATAAAATAAAAATCATAAAGATTTTTTTATTTCACTTCCTCTCTTTCCTCTTACTTCTCTTCACCTTTTTTTCTCCTCCACTTCTTCTTATCATCTTTAAAAGATTATAAATTATAAAATAAAAGTCATAAAGATTTTTTTATTTCACTTCCTCTCTTTTCTCTTACTTCTCTTCACCTTTTTTTTCCCTCCACTTCTTCTTATCACCTTTAACCTTTCATTTTCACTTTGCAACTTACCACCATCACACTCCCATGCACATACACTTCCATGTCTAAATCGGAAGTCACAATTGCTGTTAAAGATAAACCTAAAAGAAACCTAAATCTGAATAGACGACGCCGTTCATGAGAGACACGCATTCGCTTTCGGATGTTCTTCTCACGAAAGTCCGCAGTCTCTCAAGATATTAGTCGGAGACGCGTTAAGCGAACAATACGGAACTTGACTTACGGTCTAAGCGAAAGTTAATAGTTTTCCCGGTGATTCGCGAAATCGTCCCGCCCCGGTGGAAAATTGCGTCGTTCGTTCCGGAATCATCAATTCGAGCTGGAAGCTTCATCGCGCTCTTCCGCCGGATTTCTCCTCCTCCTCCTCTCCTTCCTACCGGCCGGATGCAATTTCTCCGGATCGTCGTTTTCGCAACGAGGGCGAAACAAAGTTGCGCCTCTCTCGCTCGTAAGGGAGAAGTGGATCCGTAACAGGTTCCGAAGAAACGATTCCCGGACGACCCTTAAATAATGCGACTTGTATACCGCGCCGGCGTCTCGTCATATGTGAGTGATGCTAAAGGATTTATAGCGCGTCGCCACAGACTCGTAATAATTTACAGCCGGTGCCGCGCCGGAGGAATCTTGCGTTAAAGCGACACTTTGAATTATCTCGAAAGATAAAGCCTGAAAGTGCGATATTTAATGAAAGTAAAAAATGAAAGCTAATCTAAAACATCACAAGTAAAAATGCAGTTTGAAGTAACAAAAATAACGACAATTTTCATTTTACACAACACAAGATTGTATTCTGTGACATAACTTCATTTGATTCGGAAAATTTCAGAAAATAATTGCTCAGCTCTGTGCAGAGTATTTGTCACGTCGTCGAATGGCAAAAAACTAAAGCGACTGAAAGGACAATAGGAATAACAGTTTTCGATATTAGTTCTCGTATTCCCCCATTTTCCAATATCGCCATATTCCATAATTCGATATAACGAAACATCTCATTTAACTAGATTGGTCATTCGTTGAATCCTCTTACCGATATTACTTCATTTTTACTTCATCCTAAGAATGCAGGAGATCCTTTTTGTCATCAGCCAGGACTTCGCCAAGAGAAAGACAAGGAAAAAATATTCATTGGAATATCAGTTCTTTGCTGCTGGAACGATCTTGGCGAGATCTTCGAGGGCGCATCAATTAAGATATAATTCTGTGGGACGCCTCAAACGGTATAGATTCTCACAAATCTATCACCGCCTACTCGAAATTTTCACAATGTCGCTGTCAGGCTGATGCAATTTGGTGGTGTAAGTTATGCGATCGTCTCCTTCAGCAGGAGCGGCTGTGAAGAGACATGAGTTTAATGCGCTCCTAGCTGTACGATACGCGGCAAGCGGCATCATTGCGCACAGTACGTGTCCCAGTCGGCGAGCGAGATGCAATTTATCATCCTGCAGCCTTAGCAGCCGTCGTCGCGCTCAACATAATCGATTTCCGTTGCACTGCACCATTATCTTTCGCGGATATGAACGTCGTAGATCTTGAGTAGTATTTTCGGAACGTGAGTAAATTCCCACGGCCCGAAAGAATATTAAGACGCTTCAAACATGTGTACGGGGGATTGTCCTGGAATTCTAAGAATGTTCCATGAAATCGTGGGAGGGAACGTCTTTAAGAGGACTCACGCTTCGATTTGTCACGTCATCTCTTCGAGACATTTCAGAATTAACGTCTTCTAGTGCAGATTTAAAGCGACTGCGATCACCAGGACAAGATTTTTTCTACATAAGCATATCTACAGATTCCTTTTCTCTTTATCGCTATCTTCTTTAAAGAGTTTTGAAGAACTGAATATAAAATATATTTAATTTGTATTTGCGATGAATTAAAAAAAGTGCAGTAATTTAAGTAAATCAAATGAAATTTAATATTTTACGAAACTTTTTCGAGCATATCATTTAAGAATTAGAATTAATTTTATTTATAAAAATATATTGTATAATATACGTATGTTACTGCAAAATTTGTACATGCTTGTCAAGAAACATACGAAAATACAAATTCAAAGTAATGAAATTAGAATGAAAGAAAGGTGTTAATTAGGATCGTAGTGCCATCTAGCAGAGTCGCTGAGAAATCCATTATGCCCAACGGGTTTGAATCTCGACTAAATAAGATTTGAGACTTGGTTAAATGACCTGTTACTTTTATTAAAAACCTTCACGAGTTACCATTATTCTTACCGACAAGTCAAGGTTGTTTAATATATGATATTATTATTTATATAGAGTAAACGAATTTATTTTTGTATACATTTTTTCAAAAAATATCCTATAGTTTTCAATAACTTCCAACATTTCTCTATATTTGTATATCCTAATCTTTTCCTTAAAGGAAAATATTAATTTATTTTTTTTTTTTTAAACAGGATATGGCTTAAATTACTTTCGTGAATAAGTACAAAATCTGGAAATACTTTGAATACCAGAAAGATGCTAGAATAGCTGCCTGTGGAACTGAGATGCGAGTTTTGTCAGAGATCTTACAGAACAAAAAAAATATAGAAACATCACAGTGATTTGTTTCGGTGATAGGAATGTGAAAGTAGAAAGATATAAAAACACCAGGAAATCGGAAAAATATAAGTTTGTCGACATTGTTAACTACTCAGCAGTTCTATTTTTTTAAATTGAGCCTCTTGAATGACCGATAGTGCTTTTTTCAGTATTTCGCAGTGTATCATTGACACGTCTTGATCAGCGTCCACTGTGATCCAAGTGTCGTCCTTCAATTTGTCGTAATTAGCGTTAACACGCGCCTGAAAGTCATCTTGCTCGAATCTCTCTTCGCCCCAATTGTTACGTTGCTTTTGCTGACGTTTCGACACCTTGAGAAGCACTATGCAGTCAGGTTTTGGCAAGCCTAGGTCTGGCTGTTTGCACCAATTCAAGCATCTGCCTGTGTTAGCTGCCGTGTACGCGGTCCCGGAACTCGCGTACCTGTCCACCACCAGAGTAGTGCCAGCCAAGAGTGTCTTCTCAATGTCCTCCTTGCACTCCCATCGATTGGCAGAGAATAACAAGTGGGCTGCTTCAGGCGGGATATTTATTTCTTTCGATAAGAAACCGTTGAGCAAACTTCCAACAGGAGTGTTTCTATCTGTCACAGAATATATAATATCTCTGTTAGAATTCACATGGAAATTTTTTTATTGTCTGTTTTCAATTTTATTGACCTCAGATTTTCTTTCTGTACTTAGACTTTACTTCTATTCGGATATTTATAATAGTCATACACGCAAAGGAAAATTTCTCTCAAATTTTTTTGCATTAAGTAATTACTCTTTACTTTTAAATCACGTGACACAACTTATCAAATTCGCGACTGTCACATTCGATATGATGTCCACATTGATGCAACATTTGCAACGGAAAGCGCAACAAAGCGAAAACAGGAGAAAAGAAAAACAAAAAAGGAAAACAACGCGAAGTGTGACTGCGAAGCTTGTCCTTCCATAAAGACAATGATATTGATTATATTTTATGCATAAATTGCAAATTCGCCGAGTGTCAAACCCCTAAAGCCCATTCTACAATTGCGTAAGCGTAGTCGTGATCGTAAGGGTCAACCAATCCGAATGTTTTATTTACTGATTGCTTTATTCTGATTGGTTGTCGTAATCACATACAACCACTTACAACCACGTTCACGCAATTGTAGAATGGGCTTAACGTATAAAGAGTTATTTCCCGCGCAAAGTAACATAACCTACAATACGACAGTCCAGTTATTCATTACTTACTTGGGAAACCGTGCGCTTTCGCCGGGATTGACATCTTGTTCAAAGCGTTTATTAACATCTTCACCTGGGTCGACTTGCCCGCCCGATCGCAACCCTCCAAAACAATTAACGCACCGCGTTTACTGCACATGTCTCGCGTGTATGCACGTTACGCCGCTTCGTAAAACCAGATTCACATCGTCGCAGCGGCGAAGGCAAATTTCCAGCCGAACGTCGACGCCAATGCACGTCCATAATTTCCATAGAGCCGAATCTTATCTTTGTAATTTTCCGTCGTAACTTCACTGTATAACTTTTCATCAACGCCACAGCGAAATAGCTCCTAATGGAACGCTGCAAATTCTAATTCGCAATGGCGTTTAAATCAAAGTTAAGTTCGAGCAACTGTATCGGCAGTGGATAATTTTTCAACTCATGATATTTGTGGAGATATCCATAGTGGGAATATCCATTTGTGGGAATATGCGTGATATTATCCACTGCTGGTACAGTTACCGTCGCATTCCATTGAAAGAATAAAAATCAATTGACCAGATGATAATTCAATGTACTTTGCAAGTCAACAATAAAATAAAGTTTATTTAAACTGGAGTTGAAACACGTCACTGCGAATTTTTTCAAATTTTCCACATTCCTGATATTGTCATCTGTCATTCAATAAAATATCTTCTTTCACCATAACGAACTTTGCGAAGAAATGAAGAAATGTAAGTAAACTTCAATAAAAAAAAAAAAAAAAAATCTCGGGCAGAAAAAGAGAAATTTCAGACGGTCGGAGTAAAAACTCGTTCGTGCGAAATATTTTAACACATTATTTTATTTGGTTTTTTCCTTAAAAAAAGAATGAACTTGAAATCGATCGTCGGGTTACTTCTTTTGGATTCTGGCGAGTAATGACTGGGCATTGTTTTTCGAAGCGACGATACACACTAAGTTGCAAATTAAACTAGCTATGTATATATGTATATATATATAATATTTATATATAAGATAGGTTCTTCGCGTTCCTCTCTCGTTTACAGCATAATACATCAGTAATAATGCATATTTACGTCTTCGTATTCTCCCTGTAAACTCTTTCTCTCTTTCATACACACACGCACACACTATCTTGTTCGCTTCCTTTCGCTCTCTTCTTCTAGCACGCGCTCGCATTCGTTACTCTCTCGTTCCCCTTCATTCGCACTCTTCATTTGCGCTTCCCAAACGTCGGTATTTTCAAGAGCTAAAGAATTACGTTATATACCCTCGCACACGCAATACGTTTTCTCTCCCTCTCTCTAGCTCACATTCCTCTCGTTCTCGCGGCACGACACGTGGATCACTGGCAGATTACGTTCCACGTGCGCAGCATTTACTTATCTTTCCTGAAGAAGAGAAATAACACACAGTCGTGGCGCGCGCGCGTCGTCACGTGACTTCCGTTCCAACAACAAGTGGCATCGCATTTCCCCTCCGACATAGATTCATTGGTGAACACTCGAACGCAATCCGGATTACGGAATACACCTCGCGGGCCTGCTACGCAGATTCCTCGACGAATTTAATCGGCCGGCAACCGCCACGGCGAAAATTTGTCCGCGATTCGCGTCGCGAACTTCCAATCTGCTCCGCGCCTCGTTTATTCGTTCCGGAGCGAGAACTTCGTCGAGGCGAGGTCTGCTCGAAGTTATTTGAAAAGAGTCCCGCTATGAGTCGTCTTTCGTTTGTCGCGAGGTAAATGAACGTCGACATTAAATCGTTATTACGCGATGAAGATTTGCGTCGTGAGACTTCCGCGCGCGAAGACTTTCCCAGATTTCGTCGAAGAATCCGTGGAAGAATACATTAGGTGAAGGGAGATACCGTCGCTTCGCGTGTCCGCGACGAAGAAGAGACACCCGGGCGCGGCCGGGAAGAGGGACGTGTTCCGGCGGTTCCTCGATCTCTCCGCGATCGGCCGAATCGCGCGTCGAGCTCAGCGTGACGCGCGCGAGCGCACGAAAATGATTAATTATTATTATTATTATTATTATATGTATAAAGGTACAATATCTCTCTTCGCTCGATTTTTTCTTAGAGAAAAAGAAAAAAAACAAGTGTTTAGCGTGTCCATCGCGTATGTATACGTCTCTACATGTATGTATAAGTAATATACAATAAGTTTACAGTGTGACGGGAAGCACGACGGAACGTCGCGCGGATGCGGCGACGCTCGTGATCCCCGACCGCAAATATCTTCCTGCTCGCGTCGCCGCTTTTCTCGAATCGATTTCCTGCCACGAAGTCACCTGCGACTCATTCATATCACTCAGAGCAAATTAGCATTGCAGATCCAAGTGCGTAATTTTTAAATGCACAAACGTGTCATTTGGCTCGAGTTCTTTCCACACGTTACTTGCACACGTTTCTTTTGCACGTTAAAGCGTATTAAATGAGAAACATGTAAAAGGAGGTTAGAAAATAACATACTTAGATCTGCAGTGCGTGTGATTCGCTGTTTTTCGCTACCGCGATGTGATTCGTTGGTCATTTCGGGACGGTGTGACTCTTTTCTCCATGTACGAGTAAAAGAAATCGGAACAAAATTCTTTTCTCTTTATTTAAGATCTCCATTTTCTATTCAAAACGTGTTCTAACTTTTAATACTGTATAATTTCCTCTTTTTCTCTTTCAACATGAAGGAAAGCATGGAATGGTTGACATTTTAACTGTTCCTGAAATGACCCACGAGTAATGAGCCATACTCAATAGAGGTTGCAATACTTTTTACCTTGTTGAGTCTCGCAACGCATCCGACAGGAGAATTTCTATTTTAGCAATTCTCAGAAGATACATTTTCTTATTGGGCACGTCGCGGGACTCAGAAAAGCGAAGTAGTGTTGCGACCTTCTGACTGTACAGCCGGGGAAAAGCCGGCGGGACGCGCAGGAGCGCGAAGAAGCGGTCGAAATTCGCGCCACGAGCGGTCGCGCAGCCGTCGGACTGTCGCAGCCCGCCATGCTTCCACGTTCGCGCGCATACGATAAAGTGCGCCGCCTGACGTCCTTCGCCCTCTGTCTCACGCGCGCGTACTCCTCTTTTAAAGTTAGTTTATTCAAAGTTAAAGCTTTCGATGGGATTTTTTTTTCATTTTTTTTCCGTCTTTTTACATAATGCTTTGTAACAACGGCACACGGTTATCAAAGTCATGAACGCATTGCGGGCTCTCGGCTTGCATTCTCGCGTCTCGCGTCTCGCATACTAAATGCGAGCGCGCGAATGGAACCGATCTCTGGACGCTCTTTGGCCACCAGAGTCACCCGTAAATCGGTTTTCTTCCCTTTCCTTGTTGCTTTTAACTTTTCATTTCCGTCGCACAGGTCGCCGGAGTGGTCTTGGAGGCATTCAAGACCTACCGCGACGCGAAACGCTGTCGCTTTTAGTGCTGAAACGCGAGACGCGAAAGACGAGCCTCTCGCGGAAATGCAGCGACGCCACGTACTTTTTTCTTCCCTTCTTCTTCGTTCATCCTCGCCTTTCGTCTAATCGCTCATCTCTCGCGTATTTATTCGTTGAAAGATCTGCGCGTGACACACACACATACACACACACACACACACACACGCGCGCGCGCGCGCACGCACACGCACACGCACGCTCGCACGCTCTCACACGCACATACGCAAGCATGCACGCATACATAGACACAACCAGCCGTGGGCTGGTCGTCTACCGCTTCGTCAATTTATTCTGGGTTTCCGTCTCTTCCTGTTCTCCTTTGCTCTGCCTCGCTTTCTCACGTCTTCTCACCCCGTTTCATTTTCTCGATTTGTCCTTTTAATTTCTAACAATCTTTCTTAAAACGGCGACGACAATGTCGCGAAGAGGTACGATGATCTCGTTCGGACGGAGCTGGGCTGATTAATTTTGCAATTAGCGACAGTTTCTGATACAAAATCTAGAAGTCTGAGAAATTTTTCTATAATTAAGAAGTAAACGAATGACAGTTTTCAGCTCGCAAAACAAAGAAATATAATCTATCGCAATAAATATATTGCAGTTAAAATAGAAATGTGATCTACGCGGGCAGAAACACAAATTCCGAAAATAGTAACTAATAGTAACATTATGTTAATATATAATCCTCTACCTAACAATAAGCAGTAAACGCAATATAACGTAATAGTTACATCCTTGAGTGAGAAATTATAATATTAATAATCCCAGTAAACATAAAGTAACAGTAACGTTACACTAACCTTTACAATCCGAGAAGCCACTACAGTGACGCGTTGGGGGTATCATATCTTTTACCAATCTACCTTCTTTGACGTATACGAAAAAGTTCTAGTTCAAGGATTGTAAAAGTCACCCAAAAAATCTCTCGGATTGCAAAGGTTAAAGTTACAATTTCCCACTCAACAATAGTAAGTATATTATAACGTATGTTACACATAACAGTTACATGATTGAGCGGAAGATTTTAATATTATTGGGTGCATCTAGTGGCATATTCTTATAAATCTAAGTATACATCAATCAGATGCAAGAGCTTACTGAGCGCTCAGTGAAGGATTGTAGTACTCGATGCACCTAATGTAATGTTACTGTTGCTTGTTTAAATCGGTGTTTACTGGATCATTGATTAGATCGCAGATAGCACAGAGAATTCAAAAAGAATTCAGTCGTATGTCATCAATTCCGAGTTCATGTTTAAAAGCAAAAAGAATTCTCTTTACTGAACTGAACTTTGAAGCATTTTTTTTGCATTTAAAAATAAATTCAGAATTGATGACATACGACTGAATTCTTTTTGAATTCTTCATTTGGAATATTTCCTTTATTTTGAGGATTCATATAGGAATTAAACGAGTATAACGGCTTTGTTGTTGCAATCTGTGCCCAGCTACCTCCTCGCGTTCTCATCGAGTATTCGATGAAGACTAACGCGACCCGAAGATCTTTACGACACGACCCTGAGAAGGAGCCTCGATTGTTTTCTAATGTTTCCTCTAATCTTCTCCGCGTTCCGCGTATCCTAGTTTTGTGAGTGGTAATGTTAAGGCAACTCTTGTTACACTAATTAATGATTTACGGTATTACAAGCATTTTTCTTGCCGTTCGCGTTCCACCGACATCCCATCGCCAGTCAGTCGCGCCTGTCTCGCGCGACGAAGAAGCGTCAGCCTCGACTCCGATCTTTCCAACGCGAAGCTATCATCCAGGCGACGCGTGCACGCGTGTCGACGATGCGCGATTCGTATTCATAAATCAACCCTCCCTGCCAATTTGGAGCATCCACATTTTCAACCAAATAGTTATGAAATTTAACTTCCGTTTGGACGCGGTGCTTTCGTCGCTGCGCAAATTTCAGTTTAGTTT